GTTAAAGCAGTATGGAGGTAGTGGTGGTGTGGTGGTGGTGCCTAATACTCTTTTCAGCCCTCGGTCGACAGTTCAACGCGGTCCGTAGTCTTCAACGGATGCTCGTTCAATTCGAATCCGTCGAACTTTTATAACGTGTTCTATACACTTCATTCTTCTCATCGCGTTCAATGAAAAATGTACGAACTTACAGTTTCTTAACCGGAAGTTTTTATACCTTCAGTCTGTGTATCTCCGAGTATAATCTGAGTTTAGGATTCTGATTGCATTGTGATAGCAGCCTTTAACATGATATTTCGAATGGATACTTTACCAAAAATTACTTATGGTATAAACAGAGCATTATAATGGTAAGAATAAATCAGGGATTTAACAAATAAATGAAAAGAAACACGTGAGAGATTACTTGATAAAATTACGCCAACGACAGTGAAAGCATTATAAACATATATAGCTTTTGATGTTAGATTTTCCTAAAAACAGAACTACATATAGATAACAACGGGTTTTTCTTCTCGTGGAAAGGAGGAAACAGAGATAATTTAATAGAGATCAAAGGTTAACAGAACAGATAAAGATATTTTGCTGTATAGTTCTATTAAAATATTCCTTAGAATATCTTTGTTCATTATAACAGTGAAAAAAGATTTTGAATTTTGCGAAAGAAAAATTTCCCTATTCCAGTAAAATTTCCCACTCGATTGTTCTACTTATCGTTAAACAATTAAACACAGTTCATTGTTTCAATATAAAATTATAAACATTGGATACAAAGAAAATGTTAATATAATTTCAATACTTCATTTAAGCAGCTAACCAATTTTGTATCTACTATAATGATAAGTTAGTGTAGGTATTATATCTAATTTTTTAATATAATACTCATTTTTACACAAATATTCAGTTTTCTTATTAAAGACAATGATTCCACGAAATTACATAAATAGATACTGTGTTAAATACGTTCTTGTAGATACATACTTATTATTTTTGTGTTTCTTACTTCGTATATTTTCTTTTCCTTAAGTTTCTAGAAAAGGCACTGTCGTGACGTAATTCTTCAAGTAGATAAACCGTGTCCGCTTTCTGTCGCATCGTATCTAATACCTTAATTAACTTCATGCTCACTATCAATCTTGAGCATTTTATGACTATGTAGTTGTCGGTTTCTTGAATTTTCCAAAGAACAGACAAAAAACATTACTGATACAACGAGAAATTAAGACAATAGAAAGAAAACGTGATGGTAACATTTTTTTGTGTGCTAGGCCCTTAATTGAGTGTAATTAGTGATCGTTCGTCCTTGTCATTAGGTCATGTCTCGCAACGAGTGTAACTTCTTGTATTTATTCCGTTCTTTCTTGTTACTTCCATTTTTATGTTGTTTTTTTGTCATTAAATTAATTATTTTCGATCCGTATGGAAAAACGTCGTATTCTTCGAAACAATTAGGTAAACTATACTAATTTTAGCAGTGCATTAATTATTGGTATTTTCATCATTAGTAAGAATGTATAAGAATAATATGTTAAAAATGATTTTTTCAAACGTGTGTTCATTTTGTAACACGGTAACAGTAGGAAGTAGGTTCAAGCATCTAGTTAATATTATTTAATTGTCAATAGTGACAACAAAAAATATGATACATGTAAAAATAAAATATTCTTATATGCTAAAAATATAATAAATTAAGTTTTTATCGAGAAGAATAAGATTCTAATAATATTCATAACATGAAATAATAGCTCAATGATTATTTAAATAATTTCAAGTCTACTAGTAGCTTAATATTTTGACAAAAGTTAGCATAAAAGCTGAATAACTGGATATCTATACGTTATGCCTATTTATGAGTATCAATACTGTTTAATGTAATTAAAATAAAAAACAGTAATAATTTTTGTTGTCAATATTGTGCCAATCACTGTGTTAAGTATGCCAATGATTGATTTTTGTCATCATTCTTTGTTTGTTTTCTTTGTTTTCATAGTATAATTTATAATTATAAATCTTTAATCAACATAATTATTATATTCAATTCCTTTGTTCCTACAAATCAGTTTTCATACTTACTTGATATAAAATACAAACGACTCTTTAAAAAAAATGTTATTTTAAGTTGCTAAACAGTATATGTATAATTTACTATATTTATGTAAAAAGATGTTGATACAGTGTGAGGTAGATAAAGCGTGACAATAAAATAGTGGCAAAAGCATTGTTATTACAAAAAAGATGTATTTAGGTAAAGAAAAAGTACACTTCTCGATTTAATTAAACATTAAACCCTTTGCGGTAATTATTTTCAAAGTGTTATTCGGTGTACTCCGGCAGGTCCGCACTTAAATTGACAAAATTAAAATGAGGAAAATAAAAATGTTTATCTTTTTAATAAAACTAAACTTTAATAAAAATCAAATAAAATCATTCGATTATATTGGACACAGAACTGCAAGGGGTTAATTTTTTGTTATACGCCATTGTTTAAGGCCATCGTCTTATGTTTAAGCGGAACATTCCGCATAATAAAGTGTTAGGATACAATAGTAAGAAAATCGATAATTCGTGAGTAATAGGTAGGGGTCTAGGGTTGGTCGGGCCCCCTCCAAATGAGGACTGTCCTTTTCCTCGCAAAAGTTTGCTTTAACCGAAATAAATATTTCGGTCGGAATGTAACATGTAACGTAACTGTAAACAAAATATACAATAATGTTCTTATTACGTAAAATTATGAAAAGAAAAAATTAAGCCAAAATTAACCAATATTAGACACTTCAGATTGAAATCTTATCGTTAGTTACGTCAGTGGAGATATATTAAATTTGTATAATATTCGTCATTTTAGAATATAGAATGTCTTACACATTGTGAATTATTGATTTTTTTCTTTCTTTTCTTATTTCTTTCTCTTTGTCACTATACCACTATATGTATTGTTTCAAAGAAGTGTGATTCCATTCAAATAAAATAAAAAGAAAAACCTTAAAATATCCTTGGCATCTTTAACTATGGTGCCGATAACTTAAGCACCGATTGTAAATTAAGTAAATTAAGTAAATAAAATAATTTTTTTCATTTTACTGATATTTTCACACCTTATGTGCTTCACTCTGTATTGTAATGTTTCAATTCTTTTCACTATTTTTATTGTTTGTATGTATTTTAGCAAGGATGCTGTCACTATTATGTATTATGTATGCTGCTCATATTATCAGCAGCAAAATTGATTATACCTATAAAATGAAAAATAAGTAAAATAAATAATTTTATATATATTCATTCCTAGAACATCAGTATATACCCACATATGTATTATACTATATAGGGAGAGTCAGCTAACTCAATCATTTTACTTATCTCCATTATTTGTAAAGATATGAAAATGTTTATTCATAGAAGTTACATAGTATCAAAGGTGGTCATAATAAGGCAATAGAGTGCGGTATTATCTAAATAAACTTTAATTCAAATAATTACTTAAATAACAAATTGTTACTTGGAAGGTCAAATGAAAAGCAGTAACAATTATTTGTTAATTAAACAAGTCTAAATAAATTATTTGAAATATTGAGATTGATTATTATTTATTTTTTTTTTTTTGGAACTCTGATAAATCGTAATTGAATAATTCATTAAATAGTTTATAATAATAATACTAATGATGATGACGATGATAATAATAATAATAATAACATTTGATAACTAATTGCAATATTTTGTTATCGATTATCATTGTTATGCTAAATTTAAACATAACGATGAAGAAGAAATTCTCTTTTAATGAAGAAAAAGCTTATATTGCTTATAATAATCAACTGTAATATTAAGTAAATTATTTATACTTTTAAGCGTATGTGTAATATTTTTAGTAAATAGTAACTTATTCTAATTATAAGGAATATGTTTTAAGATAAAAATTCATATTGTTGAAATTGCTAATTCTAACACTTTATATATGTACCTATTTATGTACTCTTGTACACAATATGAAATTAAAGGATCCACCACTTTACGATTCTTTAGAATTTATTTTAGAAAATTTCAATTTCAATTTCAATTCCATATACCTTTGTACCTACCTCTTTTCAATTGGTTGTTCTTTAAAAGAAGCAATATCCAAATATGTTTTTATTTTCTTTGTAAATACTATTTTGCAGAAGAAATTACTATATCATTAAAAAATGTAAAATTTTTGCTCGGATAAATACAAATTCGACTGGATTGAAGGTATGCAATGAATGATATCAAAACCTTTGATATTAAAGTCAACCATATGTTTTATGTACATACAGACACGCGATATTAGGCGCACCGATTTAGCTTGAATAACAGATGTAAAGATAAGTTGATATAATTGTTTGATTTACCTTGAACTTAAGCTGTAATTTTATTTCATTACAACTCAAACGTGTGCATTGAAATTTAATAAAAATTCTTTTGTACCTTCGCTTTAAAATTCAATTCTAAATAATGATTAATTATCTATTATTATATAGTACCTATATTTAAAATATTTTTATGCAAAGTCCTTAAATATTATATAACACATACATATTGTAGATATTGATACTAATACTGTATTAATAATGCAACGCATTCAATCAGCGGAATACTGGCATACTAAATTTTAAGGTCAAACATAAATATGGCGTTTATAATCTAATAATATCGTAATTGGGGAAATCTTTAATTTAAACAGTAAATAAAAGTATAATTTTGATTATAAATAACAAATAAATTTTTTATTTAAATAGAAGTTATTTAAATAATGTCAAAAATAATTTATTTAGTAGGCACCTATTTCTGAAATGTAAATAAAAATAAATAAAAAGTAATAATTAACAAATATAACAATTATTTTAAGTTGTATCTATTTGTAAATAACAATTAATTTTATTATTTCAAATAATTTATTTAGAACTATTCAAATAACAAATAATTATTCATGCTTCTTATTTGAACCTCTAAATAATAAATACTAAATATTTAATTTAAATAAAATGCCTTTTGAAATGACGCGTTTCTAATTATTATTTTCAATTTGAATATTTTCCCATGTTTCTATGGATGTGAAATGCTGCTGATTAAAATCAAGATTTACTTATTTAGATAATGCTCAACACTGTACATACACGCATACATATACTAGTAATTAATGCATTGCAAATATAGTAATCAGGTAAATAATGTTCATAGCATTATGTGATCAATAAATGATAATACATACATACATGTATGTAAGTGTAAAAATTAAATCGTCGTTGTAACCATGTATTAATAAAAACCGTTTGGAATAACAGCTTCGTAGGTAACAGTTGTATTGAGTACAAAGGGTTCTTTTCAAAGTTCACCTTGGATGACGATGGTACGACGTTTGTTATCGTTTGTTATCGTTTGTAATAGTACTGTTCCCTCAGTGTTCTTATCGTGCAGTTTTGTGCATACTTCCGGTTACGACAATCATACATAATACATAGATAGATATGAAATGTCTGGATTATAGAAAACAAAGGTATACAAATTTTTAACAATGAAGTGTGATTACTTGATTACGTTGAAAAATACGGGAAACTGAAAACATATCGTATAAACAAAAAATTAATGTAATAATATTAACCTTATTAATTAATATAAAGCCGTATGTAATTAAGAAATTATATCAGCCGTTTATTTTGAAGTAGGCATCAGTCGCTTTTATGCTATTTTAAACCTATTAAAAATGTTTTGAATTTTAATGTGTATACTTATATTTATTACCTCGGTTACTTATATTTTTCTCATTGTCAGCACATATACATATCCAAACAATTTCCAACAGATTTTAACCAACTAATATAAAAAGTTGCAAATATGCAATATTTGGTTGTGCCTTTTACGTTGACAATTTAAAAACACGTTTTTTTTTTATTAGATCTTTAGTTTCGTAAGCTTATAGTTAACGATAAAAAGACTATATATTTTTCAAATACTTCAAAATCAGCTTTAATTTATTTTTTGCAAAAAGTAACTCACACCAATTTCAAAATAAATGGCTTATATTGATATTGATTTCTATTGATTACGGATAACTTTTTAAAACAAATTTAACATATGTAATAAAATAATTGACAATTAATAATCAAATAATAGTAGAAGTATAGTAATGTCAAAAAGTTTTCCAAATTCTTCTTTATATTACAAAATGTAAAGGAATAAAGAACATTTTGAAATATAATTATTTATTCATAAATAATTTTGCTGATAATTATCAAGTACTGTAAATATTTACAATGAAAAGTAGTCTGTGTGTTTTTCAAAAACTTCGAGAGAAAGATTTGAATAAAATACACTTAATGAAGTGCAAAAAACAAAAACGATAGCATTAGAACGAGAATGCTTTATATGAGCTTTTTGTGTCCTTTTTATATACAATTTAATGTTAAATTCTTTAATTATATAAAATATTTTACTGAAAAACGCAATTCTCGGGAATTGTAAAGCTTTTATATTTCTCTCTGTAAAAATTTTCGAAATATTGCGCGCAATGCCAATCAATGAGAGAGTGCACATACGTAAACAAAGATACCGCCAATTGAAGGCCCTGGTCGCAGGTATCCTTGCATGTAAATAAGGACAGAAGGGGGGGCCTTATGCAGTGTTCTATTTCTATTCCTATACCGCGTCCACTTACACTGTATTCTTATACATATGGATGTACTTATACATATACCTCTATGGAGAAGTTGTGAAAAAGTTTTTGGTAATGATTTGACGTACCTAATAAAAATGATATGATACTTATGGAAAATTCAGTTCTGTTCAACTTGTTATGCAAGTTGATTTTCTAAATTGTATTAATATTGTTTGTAGTAAAAAGTAAATCATTTTTGTGATAAAACATGAAATATATTTAAAATACCGAAAATGAGATAAATATATGTAGATCTCAACATTCGTTCTTCAGTCATCTGGTAGTGAAAACAAATCAAAGTTTACAGTTTTTCGCAAAAATATCATCATTGAAACAATTTAGGGTTCGTGATATATATGTATAAGAAATATAAAAATCGTTTCATGGCATATAAACTGCGTTATGTCCCCCCCTCCCCCAGCCACCCCCATCCACCCAAAAAATAAATTTAACTAGTGAAAAATTTGATTAAAAGAAGTGGAAGAAAATTATGGGATTACATTTACTTCATTACCATAAAAAATTAAGGAAGTTAATACTTCAACAATTTGACAAACAGATTGATTAGAAATGAGTACGTTCTGAGCTTTATACTGGTATTTCTTGTTGTTTTGAAATCGACTACAATTAAATATTTTTTATTTTTTTATTCCAAAAACTTTTTCATACCACACCATTTCACATAATGAATACAAAAAGATAAATCTTTTCCATCAATTCGAATAAGTATTACTTTTTCATTTAAAACTTATGTTTGACTTGGCGGACGAATTAGAATGTGTAAAAGTTACGTGGTGTCGATCACTCTCAAAGATGTTGGACAAGAGGCCATAGCATGAAATATATTGGTATATTCGGAGCTTTGGTATTTATTTTGACCCTCGGTAATCTCCAATCGGTCACAATAGTAAACCACCATCCGGACGAAGAGTATTTTTTGGAACATGAAGTACTCTACGAGGAAGCAATTGCTGAAGCAAAGAAGATGGAAATTTATCCAGGTATATACAATTTTCGATTTTCACCAATACATATTAAAAGATAGAATGATTTTTAAAATTTAATTTTTATAACATTGTCTGGACATCTTAATATTTTGTTCACTATGTTAAAAAGCGAGCTTGGTTAAAGTTATGACATTTCATAATGTTTTCTATTCGCTTATTAGTACATGTTCTAAGTTGTTAATTTGATAGCTCATTAAGGGCCAACAGGAGTGATAGTAGCACTTTTGGCGAAACAGCAGCGAAGCACGGAAAAGTAGTTTACGTTTTTTGGGGACAAATTAAAAAACAAACATTTTCTTTTTATAAAAATACATTTTTTATAAGATTTCAAAAGTCAAATTGCAAAATTGAGCTCTGCATGGCATTGTATAATTGTACGAAGAATATTTTAAAAAAAATTACGAAAAAATATTGATACTTTTCATGAAAATCTTTAAACTACGAAATCGCTAGATTTAAAGTGTTCTACAGGGTGATTCTCTCGCTAGTATACTCAAACGGAATGCCACCACACCAGTATGAATGGACCCAACCCCTTCGTTCTGTCATTGGTATCTCGACGGAGGTGCATACTGCAGCCGTGTGCGTGGAAATGTGTGTAACAAGAAGGAAAGTCTCACGAGAAGGAAACGTTTAAATGGGACTTTCCTTCTTGTTACATACATTTTCATCCATACAGCTGCAGTATGCACCACCTGTCAAGGTATCGATAACAAAAAAGAGCTTGGGTCCATTCATACTGGTATGGCGGCATTTCCTTTGAGTACACTAACGAGAGAATCACCCTGTAGATATGTCAGTATGGTTATTTGATTATCATGCTATCCTTGTCTCTCCTGCACGGAAAGACAAAGATCATACATGGTTTCTCGGCTTCGCCACAAAGGCCCCCAAGATCGATTCACACTTCTCTTTATTGGGTGGTCACTTCTCTTTATATTTTATATTTTGGATTCGTGAGGGAATACAACTAATCACCCAAGTACAAACCACAAACGAAATAGTGGGTTGGTTAATGAGACACGAAGCAGCGCAATCGAATATTTGGATAGAAAATTATGCATGTGTATCTGTATACTTGTGTACTGAGTTAGGTTAGGTTACGGTAGGGATAGGATTAGGGTAGGTTTGGATAAATCAGGAATTTTTCCATAAAAATGAAATGTAATAACTTATCCGCATACCTTGCGTCTCAGTAACTCACTATTACTGAAAAACAAAAACAGTATTTCTTGCCATTAATTAAAGCATTTATCGCGTTGATCGAAAATCAGTATAAATATATAATAACTATTGTTATTGCAAAATCCTATTCTTTAGCAGTACTCTGCAAGGAATGCACCGATCGCGATGAAACTTTTCACATCTCGTAGATCTTTCCACGATTATCCCATTTGCAAAAATTTATGTAATATTAGAATTTTCTTATTGTTAATTTTTCTTATTGTTAATAACTATCGTTATTGCAATTAACCAATAAGAACGGCAAGCCTCCTTACGGCATCCTACAAGTACTGCTCGTTCCACTAAAAGGTGTGAAATAAAATAATTTTTAACAAAAAAAAAAAAAATACAGCCGACTTCAAAATGTGCTAAAAAGTGTGAAATAATTCCTATTTCATTTATATCAGTATTCCACAGCTATTAATAAAATCTACTTAATCGTTAAATAGGATACTAAATATATTTCAACCTTTTCGGAGGCGGCGCAAAATTAAAAACTTTTCTTCTACTCGGAAGATCCTAGTTCAGGAGTTGGCAACTTATGACACACCTGTTACCGAATGATACATTTGATAATTTCAAATTAACAATATTCAACAGGAATCAACATACCCATTGCGGATTAACTACATGTAGATACATACACTGAGTCCCATCGAAGTTGTCGCAGTGAAGTTGGCTACACATTCACGCCGCGGCGACGGCACCTCGCCAATCGGCTCACCGACGCGGCGTGAATGTGTTAGTACGCCAACTTCACTGCGACACTTCGATGGAACTCATCGTCAGTCAGTGTACAATCAGAAGTGCTGGCAACTTCTAATACAATCGTTACAATTACAAATGTTTTCAGCCGTACCTATAACGTTTCGAATTTGTTTTCTTACGACTTATTAATTACCATATTTGCCATACCGCAATCAAATCGTTATTGGCAGCATCGTATATTCGAGTATTTTTAATTTTGCGCCGCCTCTGAAAAGGTTGAAATGTATTTAGAATAGCTGTGGAGTATTGGTATAAATGAAATAGAAATTATTTAATACTTTTTAGCACATTTTGTTAATGCAGCAAGTTTTATTAATAATTGTTACGTAGTTGTATAAACGAAATATAAATTATTTTATACTTTTTAGTGCCTTTTGAAGTCGGTTGTATTTTTTGTTAACAATTATTTTATAAAAAATCGATTTAATAATCTAATAGTATTATTTGTGAAATAGATTTTTACAAGCGTGACTTGGTTATTCTTAAAAGATGTTAGTTTACAAATTTGTTTTGTAATAAAATTCTAATATTAAATAAATGTATTTAAATATCATAACATCTTGTAAAGAAAATTGCATTTTTATTTTTTAAAAACACAACATTTGATAATTAGTAGTTAATCACTAAAAATGGTCTGAAAAGATGTATTAAGAATACTCATGGTAAACACATCGACAAGGTGCCCTGTGAAAAAATACAGAAAAGTTTTAAAAAGCATCACCCCTATTATAGGCTTCCCGTGAAACTTAATTCCACATCTATTAAACATTTTTACGTAGTACAGAGATCTGTTTAACTTATCGCTAAAAATAACTTGGCTTTGATCTGTTTAAACAGATACCAGGTATAGCAACACTCTCCTTCCGTGAATTGGTAGATTATATTCTACCTAGATTACCTATATTAAGTTCTTTTAAATGAACTTTAAGATTAGTATTAATATCTTTAAAATTATTTCTCATGTATTATAGCGAATAACAAGGGCTTTTTACCCCTACATCGTCATTTTGTCTACAGAGGCCATTTTACCGTGCTCGATATGGTACTTATTTAAAGTAAAGTTAAGAACAATAGTAATCCCGTGTACGTTCACGACACAATTTTAAAACACTTGCGTAAGCCGTAAGAACATTAATTAACATGAATTATACTTATACTGGCTCGATTCAATGCGGTATGTTCTCAATAACAGTATATACCTCGAGTCGAAGGTAATGCAGTGTACTCATTAACTGAAATAAGTATCTAGAAATAACTGGGAGTTGCAGAGTAATTTAACAAAAGGACGCTAATTTTCTAGAATTATAGGTTCTGATTGAACGTACGGATTATTCGTTGCAGTATTTTCAAATACAGTAATCCCTTAGCGATTAACCTTAAACTAATAAATTTCAATCACTTAACCCTTTCGCTACTAACAATAAGAATGACTATAGTTTTATTTATCGTGAGATGACTACCGAATTTACATATATGTACTATAAACGCCTATAGACGTCCTACATGAAACATTTATAAGGGTGTTCCAGAAAGGGTGATAATCCATTGGAGGGGTGATTGCCAAGGTGATTCTGAACAACCTTGTCCTTTGCCAAAATGTTGATTAAGGCTTCATTTTTAAATCATTAACGAAAAACAGAGCGTGTGAAATTAGAGCGCGGGCTGAACCGCGAGAGTGTTGGGTATTGATTACGTTCAAACTCAGGGCACTAGAGAATGGACTATTTGTTCAACTGGTAGCTATTTGAAAATGGAACACGTACTTCGTAAGTTGATATTCTAATTTCCAATTGCTTATATTTCGAAAACGAAGCCATAAATTGTGCCGCCGTAATGTCGCCACGTTTGTTCATGACCACGGTTCGAACGTAATCAGTAGCCAACACTCTCGCGATTCAGTCCATGCTCTACGCGCGCTCTAATTGGACAATGTTTTTCGTTAGTAACTCAAAAATGAAGCGTTAACCAACATTTTGGTAAAAGAAAAAGTTGTTTAGAATCATCTCGGCAACCACCCCTCCTAAGGGATTATCATTCCTTCTAAGATACCCTTTATTTTTTGAAGGAAGTTTTTAAAATTGGAAGTATGCAATGGAAATTTACGAACGATGGAAAAACAATACCTACTTTATTTGCGTTTATATACTACAATAAATAAAGTAATTAAGAGGTCTCTGCAGTGTGACAGTCCTTAAAGAAGGCATTTTTTTAAATTTTTTAAAAGCAAATTATTCAGCTTTTTATTAATTATCTAATTTTATAGCTTTATTCTTATTCGTATCAAGAATATTTCAAATTTTTGTTAAGTAAAAATATAGATTTTATCTCTAGTTACATCATTTGTATAGAAGTGTCTAAAAAAAAATTGTTCTCCACGGTTTATTTCACGATCTGAGATGTTACAGTTTGAAAGAAAACAACTAAAGATATTCTTAATCTCCTATGGTGTACTGGTATGTTTATAGGGAATATACAACACGTATAGCATAGCTTCAAGCTAGTGGAATATTTTGTGATGTTTATATTGTTCATGTTTTCTTGGGGAAAAAAGGGAAAAAATTTCATTTTTTTGGAAACATAAGTATTTGCTTTTTGAGTAACAAAAATTTCCAAAATATTAGTTAGTTCTAGGTAAGCCCATAAAGGGAAAGGGAAATTAATTGTGTGATTAGTTTTTAATATATCATGTCAGCTAATTTTAAAAGATGTATTTTCAAAAAAAAAAATGACGTTTAAAATATGCTTTGCCGTCTTATGTTATATGTAGAAAAATAAAATTACTTACTGTCAGATAATTACTTTTTTAGATCCAAAATACCTTGAAATGATGTTTTTGAGATAATACACTAGCAGAAAATGCAAAAAGAAAAGTTTAATTTCTTGAATAAAATAATGACTAATAATTGTGGTAACACCAGAATATATACATATGTATTAAGTATTCAGCAAATTGAAATATAACATTCTTATAAATTCTACAGCACCAATTCCAGGATGCAAACCTTGTACGGATTCGGAGATGATTTACTGTAAAGATGGAAGCGTCATAAGTGATCATTGTTGCTGTGATGGCAGTTTTAACAGTAAGTGTAATTATAATTAAGATATAAAATCCTTTAACACGTTGATTGACGCGTCAGTACGTTTCAAATATAATATAATTGAATAATTAAAATGAAAATATTCAGTAGCATTACAACTGTACTAATAATATAAAGTAAAGAATTGAAATTTTATTTTGTATTAATAATCTTTAAAAAATGAATTATTCGTATTCCTAATGATTAGAGGTCTAACACTAACATAAGTCCATCTTTAATATGACGGTCAACCTATTAATATTTTCACGTCCAAACTTTTATTAAAATCTCTTTGTAAACAAAAATGTTAAGAAAAATAATTTTGTAGAAACTTATTCAAACGGATACGAACAGAAAATAGAACAATCACCTTGTTTTTTCACTAATCTCCTTGAATTCTGTTTCCACTTATATTAGACATGTTCTTTGTTTATTTGCGATAGAAATCTACTGAAAAACGATGATCGCGTGAAGGTAGTGAATTCGTGCGTGGCGAATTGCCTGCGCAAAATATTGCTGCGATACAATTGTATAACACATTATTGAACGTTTAAACTACGATAATACTACAATACTGTCATGGAAGTCGCAGAATCGTCCGACAGAATAATAATAATTCGTGTAATGTGAATCGGAAAATGTAATCGAAATCACTTAAATCTGGTGCGTGCTACATGTCGTATTTCTACATATGCATTACAATTAAAAACGGATAATTTCAAAAATAACATTTCTCAGTTGGCTACTTTAAGTGTAAAAACTTAATATTTTCTACACTTCTGAATAGATTTATCTTAAAATTCTAACACTGCAACAGCGATCCTTCGTTGCATGATTTTCTTTAATCTTGAAAAAATGTAGTTTTATACAATAAAGGATATTCTTTTATTTTAGAAATTTATTCAAAGAAAAATGATATAATGTTGAAAGTTTTTAAGATTATGTAAAACAAAATCTATAATTCTATCTACCAGATTTATCTATAATATAAACATAAAACATTGTAATATTTTTCTTCTTCTTCTTTTTAGCGAAATATTGCAATGATCTTTATGTACAGTATATGTAAAAATAACATTCTACATGGAATTTCAAAAACTGTAGAAAATATCGTACTTTTGTAAATCTATGGCTTGGTTCAAGAAGTGTCAATATCATATTTTAATAAAAATAAGTTGAACTCATTATTAACTTTATAAACAATTGTGTATTCTTTTTAGAAATTACTATAACGACATTTCTATAAATGTGCCAATGTCAAAATGTTTCATAAAATAAATTTATTTAATAAATTCAGTCTTCGCTATGCTTTTGAACAGGCAAGACGTTTGTTCGTACTGCTCGCAAGTTGTAAACATAGTTAGATATCAATATAGTTCAAACCTAAGTGTACACAAAGCAGCTGCTTAGGCTGTCTTGGTGCGATTCCGTGTCTGTGTACATTGAGTTGCGTTGATTCTGTTGCGGCGTGTGGTACTAACACATACACACGCCGGCAGCCGATTGGCTGCAGTCCTTCCTTCGCGTGTCCCTCGCCCATCGGCTCTCCGGCGTGAATACACGCCGCGACAGAATCAACGCAACTCATTGTACCCACACCAGCACAGAAACCGAACCAGAAATGGCACCAATACAGTTAAAAATTTCAAAACTGGGGGACAGTTACACCTTGCAAAACCTATCAAATTCTACAACCAACAACGATGAAATGACCACAAGTAAGTCGGCTAAATCCGCACCATAGCATCCTCATAATAGCAAAAAAAGAAAAATCCACTCATACATCGGTACTTTAGATCCTGCAATAGACCTCTGCTCACACTCACAAACTAACTCGTGGCTAGAAGAAATTCCTACTGATAATACGTACAGCGTATTGACAGTAGACAATACACCAATCGGCACAACCAACACCATCACTAGAACTGAAACAGCTAAACCTCCTCCAATATACATACAAGCACAAATTATAGAGATGTTAACGGAGTTGCTAGAGCAACAAGCAGGCAACAACAACTACATCTTAAAACAATTAAAAGACAATCAAATAAAAATTCAGTTAAAGTCGTCAGAACTTTATAGAAAAATAGTGGACGCTTTAAAAAGCAAAAATGCAAACTTTTACGCTTACCAAACAAAAACAGATCGTAGTTATAAAGTAATACTCGGTGGAATTCACCCAAAATCAAATATGAGTAAAATCATAGAAGAATTAAAACAATACAACCACTCTGTCAGAACAATACAAAATATAGTTAAATACGATACCAAGCAATTACTGCCACTCTTTATAATAGAACTCGAACCAAACAATAACAACAAAGATATATACAACATAGAAAAACTATTAAACACTATGATTAGATTCGAACCGCCAAGATCGAAACGTGACATACCGCAATGCCACCGCTGTCAAATTTACGGTTACACGAAAAACTACTGTAACAGACCCCCAGTCTGTGTCAAGTGTGCAGGTAATCAACTAACGACATTGTGTTCAAAGCAAGGTAAAATCGAAAACGTAAAGTGTAGCAATTGCCAAGATAAACATCCTGCAAACTACAAAGGCTGCATAGTGCGGAAACAGCTGCGGTTAAAACTATACCCCACGTGAAGGAAAAGAACTGAACGAACCCCAACAAAAACAAATAACAATTCTTTGCCAAACAGCGAAGCATACAAATCGTCACCAACTCCCACATCTAATCATGCCCAACTCTTGGGCACAAGCAATAGAACATATGCGCAAGTAACCGCGGAACATAACGTAGACCGACAAAATCACAACCAAATTTCCTCCACTCACCCAAATTACCTCAATAAAACAGAATACTCAGAGATAAAACACCTTCTAATCCAATCAATTAAAAACACAGAACTCATAACCAATATGCTAGCAACACAAACTACACTGTTGCAGCAACAAACCCAGCAAATAACATTCATGATAGTTCACAACAAGAAACTCACTTTACAACAAGAAACTACGTTAAAATCCCACATAGTACAATATATGATACCAAACATTCATCAGGGAAAGCATACGGAGGTACCGCTATCATTATAAGAAATAGTATTAAACACCATCTCCATAGCAACACCAAACACGACTACCTGCAAGCAACAACGATAACAATAGAAACCACAAACGGAGAAATACAAATATATATTAGCTATCTATTCACCCCCAAAGCACAAGCTCACTATGAAACAGTATGAGAACCTAGGCAATGGGGATCCAAAAGATCATCACCCAGGAGTAAAACCCTGTTGTGCACCATAGAAAAGCTGTCATTAACACCAATATCGACTGGCGAGCCCACTTACTAGCCAACAGCCCTCGAAAAGACACCTGACCTCATAGACTTTGCTATAACCAAAAACATCAGCAGGATGTACTTTAAAATATCGCCAAACTCGGAACTGAGCTCCGATCATACCCCCATACTACTAGAGTATGTTAGCGTCAGCACGTGTTCAAGGGTTGACACGTGTCAGGGTCAATGCATTTTGGGCTTTGACCTGAGTTTCAAGGATTTCTTAGGATTCTTTAGATTATCGATACCCCGAGCCATATGTCTGTCATCGGACTTGGGCCGGCGGTGGTTGATACTTGAGGTGCGACGAATTCTAAGAGTCGCGGATGTTTTGTTTATGGAACGGCGATAGAGAGTTCGATCGCCGATTCTCGAAGGAACGCGCGTGTGGCCGATGACCCGAAGTCACGGTGCTGCATGACACGTGTAAAAAGATAAGGTTGATCTAGAAGGATCTGGCCACGGAGTGGGGAAGATCTTGCATCTTCTGGTAGGAGGACCATGAGGAACGGCATGGCACTTACCCCAGAACCGTCGAAGGGGATTAATCACTGAATAAAATTCTAACAAGTATTTACAATAACCATTCCAAATAGAAGATACGCCCACACTATACAACAATACCACAAACTAGGAGAGTTTTAGAGCAATAATCAACGAGAAATTAAACTGTAGTATACCTCTAAAAACCCCAGACCACATCGAAAACGCAGTAGACTACTTAACGCAAACAATCCAAGAAGCTGCTTGGTCATCCACTCCTGTCACCGACAATAGCAAAACCGGCCTATCGTATCCGAATTATATACTACAAAAGATAAAACAAAAAAGAAAAGCTAAATCGCAATGGCAACAATGCAAAACAAGACAAAATAAAAGACAACTGAACGCACTGGCCAGGGAAGTCAAGAAAATGCTACAGGAATACCGTAACAGAAAGTTCAGCCAATATCTCGCAAACTTGTCACCAAACAAAGATTCGAAATACTCATTATGGAAGGTGACAAAACGACTAAAAAGACCAGTAGTACCGACACCAGCAATACGAAAACCGGACGGCTCCTGGGCAAGAAACTTCGCGGAACAGGCCTCAACATTTGCAGAATACCTACATTAAACTTTCCAACCAAACCCCACAACAATAGGTGTAACAGTGACAGCAAGAACAAGGACTACAGCTAGAACAACAACAACAAATGACAGCACCAATTACGAAAGCATACCAATACGCAGTTCCACACAAAAAGAAATACAGTAAAAGCTGGATACAGTAAAACCTGGATAAATGCAACCAAGATTGGGACCCAGTGGTTGCATTTATCCAAGCGAGGTGTCGAATCTCGGGTTACACGCGACGACCAGCCAAGCGTGAACGTAGAAAGGGACAGACAGTGGCAGAAAGAGAGAGGTCCGATGATGAAAGGAAAGAGCCGAAACGTATCGGTGTGACTAATACTAATTCAACTATAAAACTTTTTTATTTTTGACTTGTTTTTAATGAAACTTTTACCAGCGGATTGGTGACATTTTTCTTATTAAAATGATACCAAACACGATATAGTTTGAATTATAATTACTTGCTAAACTTGATGTTAAATGTTGGCGAAAAGCAACAGAGATCGAAATCAAAACCAGTCGCGGTGTCGGCTCTGGTTTCAAAGGTTTCATTTATCCAGGCAAGGTGGC